ATACATATGTGTGCTGTACAAAAGAACTTGAAGCAGAGAGCAGAGAATGGATGTGACCTTGTGTGTATCTATAGCACTCTATGGTGTTAACCTGCGTAGCGCAGCGAACGTGCTCGCAGCTTTTACGCGAACACCTGAACACGTTTGGACGTTCGTGCGAAGGGCCTGAGAACGTTTTCGGTCGAACGTAGCTTGTTTTTCGTTTAAAAAAAAAAGAGGGAGGGAGGGGGGGGGGGGGGGGGGGCAGAAATCATATTTTCGTGGGCTGTTGTTTATTTTTAGGGGAAATTTTCAAAATGCCCCTGAAGTTTTCATTTATTTGCGCCGTGACCCTGTGAAGGCCGACTTACCCTGTTATGCCCCTCAGGCCTCTGAAATTTTCCGCAGGCCCCTGTCAGCATGGGGTGTAACTTTCCGATATGCCCTTACTGGACCGCTGGTGGTGTTTCGTCGGTCCGTCCTTGAAATGCCCTCACGAGGGGCACACATCTTTCTGTGATGCCCTTGCAGCAGTGGCGGCAGGAATTCGAACTCGAAAATGGTAAGTATTTCACGCGCTGCCACGGAAAAATGGTGCAGCAGTCAGTCTTCAAGTTCACTGCGCCATGGATCGCTGCTCCCTCCTCCTCCACCGATGCTCATCGCCCTCCTCCCTCCTCCTCCATCCGTGCTCGTCCCTCTCCTCTCTTCTCCTCCAGCCTCCAGCCTCTATCCTCGTCCATCGTCGTAGTCCTTGTCCTCGCTACCCCTCTTTCCTCCTCTTCCCTCGTTCTCCCTACTCCAACTTTCTCCTCGTCACCCCTCCCTCTCCTCCTCGTCGATTGTCGACTCCTAACCATCACCATGAGCGTCTTCTTGTTGTCATCGCCCGTACACGCATGCGCGTCTGTGTGTGTGTGTGTGTGTGTGTGTGTGTGTGTGTGTGTGCGTTGTGGTCATCTTTTCATTTACTTGTTTGTTGGACAGGTGGTATATCATGACGAATCGAATGTCCTACCTACTCCTCTTCCATCCTCTTCCATTGTTCCTCCTCGTCCGTCATCGTCATAGTCCTTGTCCTCGCTACTCCTCTTCCCCCCTCTTCCCTCCTCTTCCCTCGTATGGACTGCGAGTGTCAACAACGGCGACAGGGGCTTGCTGGAAAGATGGACGGTACTGGTAAGGGCATATGGGAAACTTTTCTGCTGGTTCTCAACAGGCAGCCGGTAGGGGCATACTGAAAATTTGGTACCGGTACCGGTAGGGGCATATGAAACATGTTTGAGGCCCCAACGATGCCAGGGTTTTTCTGGAAACATCATTCATTGTCAGAGGGGCGCGACAAGGTAAGTCGGCCATCAGAGGCGCACGCCGCAAATAAATGCAAACTTCAGGGGCATTTCGAAAATTTTCCCTTATTTTCATCTCATGTTTTGCGAAGAATTTGAACATGACTGCAAGGCAAAGGTTGCTTGTCCAGAATTGTGATATTTTAGTCATCTCTGCTACCATAGCGGATCCGTAGGGCCAGGCGGGCCGCTTTATAATGATATCTCAACTAGGCCACCAGTCGGGCCGCCCGGGTCAGCTTGATGATGATATTGCGGATCTGTAGGGCCGGTCGGCTTCATAATGATATCTCAACTTGGCTACCGGGCGGGCCGCCCGGGTCAACCTGTTCTCCCGGGCGTCCTTGCTGTGCAAGGATCAGGGAAGGTCCCGGCGGAAAAAAAAAAAAAAAAAAAAAAAAAGAAGGAACAACCAGAAAAAGAAACCATGTTATGCAGAAAAATAAACCGAACAACTTTTGCCTCAGGGTCACGTTAAAATTCTCTACCAGTTGGGGCGGTTGCCCAACAGTCGGACGCTTGGGCCTGCACATTGGAACAAGGTGTAGTTAGGTCCAGAAGCGCAGAGGGCTCGAGAGTCATCAGTTGTGCAAGCTATAATTAGCTACGAGGCAGCTTATTAGCTGAACTGGGATATAGAATGAAGTGAAGCGGGGATCTTTCCGGTGCCATGGTTACATCTGGGCTGTTTGTTGAGGATTGCCGGCCTCGAAGTTTTATGCTTTGAATAAACTTCAATACGACTGTTGGGCCTGCACATTGGAACAAGGTGTAGTTAGGTCCAGAAGCGCAGAGGGCTCGAGAGTCATCAGTTGTGCAAGCTACAATTAGCTACGAGGCAGCTTATTAGCTGAACTGGGGTATAGAATGAAGTGAAGCGGGGATCGTTCCGGTGCCATGGTTACATCTGGGCTGTTTGTTGAGGATTGCCGGCCTCGAAGTTTTATGCTTTGAATAAACTTCAATAAAGGAAACTCCTCTTTTTCTCAAAAATAATAATAATACTGATATTAAAATTTATTTACCAAAATTAAAATTAATTATAATTAAATATTATTTTTATTATTATTTTGGCGAGGTCCCAGGCCACTCTGGTAGCCGCATATTTTCAAGGCGGTTGCCCTTTTCATTAACCAGAAAAGAAAGAAAAAAAGTTGCTTGTATTGATGTTTTACATTTTTTTTTAAAAATTCAGATGTTTCTGAGATTTTGTTCTTTTAATATTTTTTTAAGTTCGCGGTCGGAGGAATTTGGGCGCTCGTTCGTGTTCTGGCAAACGTGTTTGTGTTCGCCTCCTAATGCAAACACGGCACTACGTCGGTGTTAAACCACATGGACCTTTGTCGGTTCGGAAAATAGTGGGCCTCCGACCTTTCAGGAGAGGCCGAAACGAAATGACGTCCGCCGGTTAGATTTATCAATGACAGCCGTCGTCATCGTCGGGCCCGGCCCCCGAATTCTTCGGGGACTGGCATTTTCCCTCATTTCTGAAGCGGCAAAGGTACTAGTGGTTTAATAACCTTAACTTACATACTAAGTGGGTTCATTAGAGGCCACGCGGCGGAGGCAAAACTAGTTTTCGACTGTTTTAAGAAGTGGATTCTTTGCGCAATAAATTCATACTCATGGGTTCGAACTTTGCATTATTTATTTATTTATTTATTTATTTATTAACTCAAGGGTTCGCGGGCCCATTTATCCATAGCACTCCCACCGAGTGCCACGTGTTTAACGACTTTTTTAATTTTAGCTATATTACTACAAGGGTTAATTAGAGGCCCAGAGGCAAGAGTCCAAAACTTGCAGGAAAAAAACGTCAAAACGTTAAAAATAGCTACGCTGTTTTTTAGGGCGCACCCAACTTCTGCCTGGGTACATGCCCAGATGCCCTGCTGGGCATGACCCCCGGGCAGGGTTCGGGGCAGCCCAGCGCCGAAAAAAAAATAAAAAAAAGAAAAAATCCGGAAAAAACATTATGTTGTGTAGAATTGAATTACAAACGACTTTTGTCCGAGGGTCACATTATAATTCCTCAGAGAATGGGAGATAAAAAAGAAAGTAACAG